GCAGGAAGGCTGACGTTTCGGGCCTAGATCCTTCTTCAGAAATGAAGGGTCTGAAGAAGGGTCTAGGCCCGAAACGTCAGCCTTCCTGCTCCTCTGATGCTGCTTGGCCTGCTGTGTTCATCCAGCTCTATACCTTGTTATTTCATGACCTCCCAGGAGGTCTGTCTTTCAAATCTCTGATGACCGTGACTTAATTTGAATCAAACCCTGTTTACCTCTATCTGGCCTTATTTACTCATCTACATTGGCTCCAATTCAAGCAATGTCTTAATTTTAGAATACTCATCCATGCTTTCAAATTGCTCCATGTGTTTCCCTATGCGTGTAATCTCCACAAGCTTCCAAACTATTTCCACCTACTGACTATCTCAATTTTAATTGCCTAGGCCTTCTGTTGCCATAACTTCTGGAATATCCTCCCTCTTCTACCTCTACAACGCTCATTGAAACCTATCTCTTTGAACAAACTTTTGGTCACATCACCTAATCGGCTGGATTATATGTTCCCCTGCCACATTTGAGGATATGTCTTGCTGAATTGAGCATTTACCTACCTATCCCTAACTCCACATCAATGAAATGGGGACAGGGGCATTGTCAGGCAACTCATTCTCCCTTGGGCTGCTGAGACTTTTACATGACCAATTTATGGAGGTCACCTAAAGGGGTGGCCCATACCAGTCCGTGAGCCTTGCATTCTTAGTTGTATGGACAGGTGTCTTTTAAAAGTGCCTAGGGACAAACAGAGTTATCTCCAGTTATTCTGCTCTCCCACCCCTGCTTCCCATAACCACCATCCCTCACTCTCCAAAGCCTACCAGAACTTTGGACCCAAATTAATTTGGACTTCTCAGCATGTACTTTCTTCAATGGGCACTTCTCCCAGTGATACTGTTAGCTGCTCTGTAGTGCAAGACTTTCTCCCAGATGAAGGGCAGAAGTCATGTCAACAACTAGTTAATGCTCAACTGAGACTAAGTGATTAGTTACCAATTCAATCCAAACTCACACCTGATGTGGATAAGTGGGAGGACAGGTTAGGGAGGCGGCTACGAGCTGGGCTGGGTTTGGGATGTGGTCGGGGGAGGGGAGATTTTGAACCTTGTGAAGTCCACATTGATACCCTTGGGCTGCAGGGTTCCCAAGCGAAATATGAGATGCTGTTCCTGCAACCTTCGGGTGGCATCGTTGTGGCACTGCAGGAGGCCCAGGATGGACATGTCGTCTAAGGAGTGGGAGGGGGAGTTGAAATGGTTCGCGATTGGGAGGTGCAGTTGTTTGTTGCAAACCGAACGTAGGTGTTCCACAAAGCGGTCCCTAAGCCTCCGCTTGGTTTCCCCGATGTAGAGGAGGCCACATCTGGAACAGCGGATACAGTATACCACATGTGCAAGTGAACGTCTGTTTGATGTGGAAGGTCTTCTTAGGGCCTGGGATGAGGGTGAGGGGGGATGTGTAGGGGCAGGTGTAGCACTCCCTGCGGTTGCAGGGAAAAGTGCCGGGGGTGGTGGGGCTGGTGGGGAGTGTGGAGTGGACAAGGGAGTCACGGAGAGAGTGGTCCCTCCAGAAAGCAGATAAGAGTGGGGAGGGAAAAATGTCTTTGGTGGTGGGGTCGGATTGCAGATGGCTGAAATGTCGAAGGATCGCTTTGCGGAACACCTATGCTCGGTTCGCACCAAACAACTGCACCTCCCAGTCGCGAACCATTTCAACTCCCCCTCCCACTCCTTGGACGACATGTCCATCCTGGGCCTCCTGCAGTGCCACAATGATGCCATCCGAAGGTTGCAGGAACAGCATCTCATATTTCGCTTGGGAACCCTGCAGCCCAATGGTATCAATGTGGACTTCACAAGCTTCAACGTCTCCCCTCCCCTGACTGCATCCCAAAACCAAGCCAGCTCGTAGCCGCCTCCCTAACCTGTCCTCCCACCTATCCACTCCTCCCACCTCAAGCCCCACCCCCATCTCCTACCTACTGGCGTCATCCCGCCTCCTTGACCTGTCCGTCCTCCCTGGACTGACCTATCCCCTCCCTAACTCCCCACCTACACCATCTTTACTGGCTCCAACCCCGCCTCCTTGACCTATCTGTCTCCTCTCCACCTATCTCCTCCTTTATCCATCTTCTATCCGCCTCCCCCTTTCTCCCTATTTAGTTCAGAATCCATTTCTGAAGAAGGGTCTAGACCCGAAACGTCAGCTTTCCTGCTCCTCTGATGCTGCTTGGCCTGCTGTATTCATCCAGCTCTACACCTTGTTGTCTCAGATTCTCCAGCATCGGCAGTTCCTACTACCCCTCACACCTGATGTGGCTAAGTGTGATATGGTGTGTTATCAAGGTCTTTAGACAGACTTGGAACATTTTATTACTTTGAAGGTGCATTTAAATTCAGGTTGTTCTTTTTAATCTGCATTGGGGCCCATTTCATCACATTAATCCATGTAAAATATTGTGATTCTCCTTAAATCAGGAAAAATACAGCACTAATATTTCCAGTTTCAAACCTATCTAGGAGATATAATATTAAAGGAATATATATATATATTCTGAGATGACTTTTAATTTTAAGTTATTAGGTTTTAAATCTATCTACACGTACAGTCTAACTGTAGCCAAGTTTGTTTTGATATTAGAGTAAATGTTTTATTTATTGTTCATATTTACAGTTGTGCCCAGATACCGTGACTAAGCTGAAGGCTGCTTACATCTTTGGAATCACATATCAGCAACAAGTGAGTATGATTAATGCTATTCATTACTAATTGATATCTAACATTTTATGCTGTATTTATTGAAGTTTGTTTATTTTAGACTTGTAATACAACTTTTAAAGAAATCAAAGATGGAGAAAATAGGGAACTGCAGGAAAGTCAATCTGATATGACTCATGAGGGAAATGATGAAACCCATCCTCAATGAAGTAGTAGTAGCACATTGAAACTTGATTAAGCAGAATCAGCATGTTTTTTTGAGTGGGAAATTGTGCTTGAGAAACTTATTAATTTTTTTAATGATATAATTCACATCATACATTATGGGTTGTAAATTTTTGAATCTTCAAAGTTATTTGACAGGATGCTACATTGTAAGATCTTACACGAGACAAAATCTCACGGGCTTCTGAATATGAGATAACAAGGTGTAGATCTGGATGAACACAGCAGGCCAAGCAGTATCAGAGGAGCAGGAAGGCTGTCGTTTCGGGCCTAGACCCTTCTTCAGAAAATGGCTTCCGAATATATTAGCATGGATAAAGGATTGATTAAAGGGTAGAAAATTGAGAGCAGGAATAAATCAATCATTTTCAAGGTGGCAGGTTTGCTAATGGGGTGCACAAAGATCATTTGCTTGCACCTTACCTATTTACAAACTATAAACATGACTTAAATAAAGGGACCAAGTGTAAAGTATCAGTGTAAATTCTTTGGTAAACTCAAGTTAACTTGCATTTAAATCCTGCCTTTCTGACTCCTGCACAGCCTAAAATACTTTACTTTTACCTAATACCCATATGTGGTTAATAGATTTTTGAAATAGAGCAATTAATTTGCCTAAAAATGAAAATAACACTGTTAGCCATGATCCAGAAATTAACACATTTCCAAAAATTCTGTAAAGTACGAAGAAAATGGGAGAGTAGTAAGCAATGGGATATCTTACGTAAAGTTGTTTAAAAATTACCTGGAATTAATTCAGGAGGCCAGTAAACTGGATTTTGGGTCAGTACATGAACATTCAGCAAAATTCTGACAGTAAATGTACAGTACATTGAAACCTTTATGTTTTTAACACACAGTTACAATATGTTAAGCTTCCTTTTCAGTAGTATTTATTCTTTCTAATGATACTTCAGAACACTATAGAGAGTAGAAATGCAGCTGTAAAGGAAGATTCTAAAGAAGTGATTGACAATGTGCAGAGGAGTGAAAAGGCAAAAATGCGACAAATGAGAGCTCTAGAGGTTGGTTAAGAAATGAATGTTGTTGTTAGAGGAGGAAACAACATAGAAACCTAAGAACATGAGTAGGCAATCTGTGGTCTAATTCCACATGCCTGCCTTTGGCCCACATCCCTTAATACCTTACTACCTTTGCTTAAAAAGGTACAAGGACAAGATGCAAGATATTAGTGGAAAGTGTGTACGTGGATGTGCAACTGGAGGAATTCATAGAAATTGATCAGAAACTGCTGATCAATTTCAAAGTGAAGATGAGGACCTTAACATTTGTAGTGGAAAGTTGGTAATGAGTTCTTTGGAGAAATCAGTCACAAGCTCATAAACATATGTATTGGGAAATTAGTGGGCAACATTGTACAGGCAACATTGCAGAGGATTATGGTTGGGAATGTTACTTCCATTTTCAGGTACTCTAATTGCTCAGTTTCAAATGTCTATTAAATACATATAGGTATTCAGTAAAACACTCATTAGCAAATCAGGTTTAAGGAAAGAAGCTAGTTTGGGAGTCAGGAAATGTGTCTAGTTCCATAGCTTAGATTAAACTGTTATAATGGATATTATTAATAATACAAGTGCTATAATATCAGATGAAGATTATTTTACCTTTTAAAGAATTTCTACTCATTGTGTCATTTTTTAAACTTGTTTATTTTCTTTCTTGAACAGTGTACATTTCTTGTTTCCAAGCTTTTATCTGATTATGGTGACATTCAATTTTATGACTTATACATGCTTTACAAAGGGGAAGATGGTGAGGATAAACTTCATCCTATTGCAGTTCGTAACTTAAACTTTCAATACAATGGACACTTTGTTAACCAAGGTAAACATTAGGTCGCTATGTAGCATTTATTATTGAATTACCTAATTCAGAAACATTTCTGACTTGGCCACGTGCAAGACAATGCAATTTTAGAATCTATTACTCTATTGAACTAGGCATTAAAAATATTTGTTCCTATTTGTGAGCACCTTTTATATAGGAGGTCTTGTAGCACAGCATCCTTCCCTCTCAGCCAGGCATTCTGGGTTCACATCTCACTCCATGCCATGCAAGGGCATTTGTAACCTAGCCAAACAGGTTGATTGTTAGCCACCAAATCCTTTTGACATAATGTACTTCTAACACCTGGTAAGAGCAGATGAGTTCCATGATCAGCCATGCTATGGTTCCTACCCTAGATTAATGGGGATGGTTAGCAGTGGGAAGGACGTCCATCTGTAAAGCCGGCTGCAAAATTCGAGGTAATCTGCTAGCATTATTGTGACCCCATGTAACACAGAAAAAAGTTAAAGAAGAAATACAATTGATGGACATTTTGGAGGAGCAGTATTGTCAAATGCATGTTCTTTTCAACTATGCAACTGAAGTAACTGAAAATTCTGTTTTCTCTGTTGATATTTAAATAATAGAGATTACTTATCCATTTGTTATTTTTTAAAACATTTTATGGTATAAACCACTTTGCTTAGTTGGAAAAAGAAGTAGGCTGTTTGGCTCTTTGAGCCTGTTCTGTCATTAAATTAAATGATGACTGACCCTTTTTTTGAAACTGCTCCTGAAAGTAAGCTCAGAGTGTGCATATTTTGAGGATTTTAAAGTAAGTTACTCGGATTTTATTTGTGTATTATTTGGTAACACTTTTTTTGGCTGAGTACATAAAAGCAAATCATAAACAATATAAATAAGTAAATGAGCAAAAGTGTACAACACTATCTTTTGACAATCTTTTTGCATTAAATTGGACTCAGTTAAGTTTATGAATTTGTACACTTGGAAGGTGTTAGCAATTTAATCAAAATATTTCTTACATTTAAGTTGTTTCATCATTGATGCTAATGTTATAAAAACAAATGCCATTACCTAAAAAGGAGCCCAAATTGTTTAGGGTCATACACTCATTGGCATAGGAATTATTAAAGGAATATATCTTAATATCTTCTACTGTGTGGAACTGGTCATATTTGCAGTGACCAAGTACTGAATCAACAATGGACAGTATTAATTGCCAGTGATAATAAGGTTCTGGAAATATCAGCATCAGTGAAACAAGAAACAGTGCTAGATTTTGACATAGGTTTCAGGGCAGCAATGTCAGAACCAAATGACACAAGACAATATAAATGTCTCGGAAGCAGCCTTGTAATTACCTACCTCCTTACTTGCTTTTAAAGGGTGCCAGACAGGCCCTCAATGCTGCATACCAAGTCAGAGGGTTAGCAGCTATAAAACCATGCCATACTGTCCGGGAGAGGTAGTCATTCCCCAGGTAAGTCGGTGAGGGTTCCTTAGCATGGAGATACCCTTACAGTGTTACATAACAAAAAGGGAAAATCACTCTTTTGATTCAGGCTGACCATGATAATGGTCTTCAATTCCTGCACCTTCATCACTGGGACATGAAACTAGTGGCCTCTGCACACTATAATGGTGCTCTTCCACTAGCAATCAAATGCTAGTGAGGCCACAGAATCCCTCCCAGTTCATGCCTTAACCAGCATAATTGGCTGTTGCCTCTGTGGTTTGGGAAGCTGATTGAATTCCCAGTCCACACTGGAAAAGTTGCATGTAGGTAGAATGAATCAGGCTGCTACCCCGATATGGCTCCTCTGCTTTTACCCAACTCTTCTGTGTTTTCCGGGTTTCCTGCCTGCAATGTCAAGTAACTGGGAAATTTTCGCCCCATGTTTCAGGCTATTAATCTTTCATTACTTATTCAGTAGGTTGCAGGTTTAATCCAGCATGATGTCACTTCATCTAAATCATGTTCTCTTGATGTCTCAGTGATTAATTTTAATAGCCAGAAAAGTGGAAGCATCACAAATTGGGAGCTGCTCTGGTCCCTGTCACAAATGTTATTCCCTCGCCACAAGCGCCATTCCTGTCTCTGCACGGTGAAGCAGTCCCGGAGCAAGGCTGGTGCGGGGAATCGAGTCCTGGAGCGGAGGCTGGCATAGGAAGCGAGTCCCGGAGTGGAGGCCAGCACGGGTAATCAAGTCCCAGAGAAAATTTATCTTGGAGCAGCTGAGAGGTGGTACAGACCGGACTGGAGGCTTGGACCAGAACGGGGAAGTTGTTGGTCTGGGTCTGGCGCAGGCTGTCAGACCACATGTGGAAGCACCTGAGCTACTGCAATGTAATGTTTATTTGTAATTTGTTTATCTGACTGTAATGCCTATCCTCTTAAATATATCATATTTCTAACTTGTGCTATGTAAAGCAATGCGACTACTTTTCTTTTTTATTCCTCTTTTGTATCTAAGATTTGTACCTAGGTATTTTGTACCAAAGATGGTACCATAAGAAGCAACAATATAAAACTTTTTGCTGTATTCCTGTACTTCTGTACTTGAGAACACGTGATAATGAAGGATATTTTGTTCTATTCTGAAAGCCTCCTGAGACTGAATCAAGGAATATGGACATCTCTGGCTCAGACTAGTATTAATTGCTTAACCTTAACACCTTGGTCAAGGTGGTTATCAGTTGCCTTCTTGAGCCACTGCAGTCTTTGAGAGTGGGAACACCCACATTGCTGTTGGAATTTTAACTCAGTGATAGTGAAGATAGGTGATATAGGCTGAATTTTCTCATATTTTAGCTAAGTGTCAATTTCAGGGAGTTTCATGGAAGGATCTGCTCTGTGAGCCCTAGTGACTTTTCTGGCACAATTCTGGGCTGCTCACCTCGTTAAGTAGGTACCCTGCATCTATTACATTAGTCTCACTTATTCCTGTGCTCAGCAGTGGTGGAACTGGTCCCTAGTGCCTTCACAGTTCCACCTCATGTGCCATATTTACAAGCCTTGCAAGCTAGGAATTGCCCTTCATCCTGTGTTACTGCACATCTGGACAAGCCATGTCTGAGAGAGGGAAGGCAGCATCCTATTTGATGACAGGGACCTGATGAGCAGGATGGTGGAGAGGAGGGTCATCCTATCTCGCCAGAACTGCCAGAGGAGACCGTGGAACCAAACCCTGCCTTCTGACTCGAAGCTGCTACCAGGTCAATGCAGTATCCTGGGCCCAAAAGAAAAAGCATCAGTGCTGCCAGAAGATTAGTTGCCTTCTGTGATCCACAAGGTTAAGCGTCATCATCATCTCTCTGCTATCTTGCACTCACTAATTGCACTACTGTACCTATCTTCCAACAAGATTCTCTATCTAACATTCTCATTGTTGCATGCCGCATCTTCCCTCAGTGGCTGTCACCTACTCTTTCTCCCAAAATTACTAATGCTTCTTGGAATTTCTGTTCACTCACTCAGGATACCTTACCACTTTTCATGCACCAACACTAACAGCTGTGACAATAAAGCCAGGGAGTGTGGTGGCTGACATTCCTCTCCTCATCCTGTGCAAGGAGAGGATTCTTGAATTAGAAGGATCAATTTGAGGCCATTCATGTCCCAGTAATTTTGTAAATTTCATTCTGATGATCTGCACTGTTCCCCATTACGACCACTCTGAATGTATTTTCAAGTAATTTCAAGCTTCAATCTGTGTTGTCTTCTGTAGGCACCAATGGCCTCCATAAAGCCTCCACCTGCAAAAGGCTATCCCCTCTGGCCATCAACTTCTCCTCCATCTCTCAAGAAACTCAAGAAACTGCAGTTCCCTCAGAGGATGCAACAAGACTGTTACCCGTACTGTCCACCAAGTCAAATATGCCACCTTAATGGGTACTTTAGAGTTAGGAACCTACTCTAGTGAGCACACCACTGGTATTCAACAGCTGGTCGAAGAAGAAATGCTTCAGTGCCTAGACTGCCAAAGATCAGGTACGTACTGAGCCCAAGACAGAAGAGGACCCCGTGGTGTGGACCATTAATTGCTTTATGAAAATGCACCATCAAACACAGGAGCAGCAGGAAGGTTTGTTGGGAACATTCAATTAACTAGATCAAAGATTGGAAGAGTCTACCAATGTTATCAGTACCATACTCCTCTCTGTGTACATTTTGACTGTCTCGATAGAAAAGTCGGCATCTTCCATGAAAAGCAAGATCCACATAAACATTCAACAGTTGCTGGAAATGTACACAAACCTGCACTCCATCTCTTTAGTTATTAGTGCTCATCATAAACCTCACTCCAGACGCCCTTTCTGGAGACAATGTGGTGGTGCCAGCTGGTTCTCGGACAGTGAAGGAACCTCTTATAGGCCCCCCCAAAAGTCTCCTTTCAGGATACTCCAGATGTGCTGGGCCCTTCCATCTCCATCCTGCCAACCACCCCAACCCTCGGGAAACTCAAGACTAGGAGGCATGTTTGCATCTGGGTAGGATACCCTAACCTTTATCTGAGCCCTTTATCCACAAATGCTCCTGTGGGTCATCCGCTCAAACTTTTAAGTTCAAAAGACCCCAATACAGGACAGAGCACCCTCGCCACGGAGGCTGAGACTACACTGAGATTTGGTTGAAGGGTAAGGAAAAAACAGTCTCTGAGGGCACTTAGGTGGCACTTCATTGTACATCAAATGTCACACTTGTATAGATATTGGCACTTTAAATCTGATTTATCATTTTAGTTGCATCAATAAGAATGAAGATACAGAAGCTATACTTTTACTGATTCACCTTTACCCACTTTGCCTGTTACAACCTTAAAGAATTCTAATAATTCAAATACAATTACCCCTTTATAAAAACTTTGTTGACTCTGCTTCATTGTTTTATGATTTTCTAATTGTTCTGCAACTATTTCCTTAATGATGGATTCCATCAATTTCCCAATGAAAGATTTTTAGCTAGCAGACATGTAACTTCTTGCCCTCCATCAACCTACTTTCTTGAGTGACATGTTACATTTTGGGGTTTTCCAATTCCCTGGCGCCTTTCCAAATCCTGATTATTGTTTGAAAATCACAACCAATGCATCCACTATCTTTGCAGCCATTTATTTTAAGTCCCTAGGCTGCAGGTCGTCAAATCAGGAATGTAAGTCATTGGAAAATTGCGGAAACCCCAGGTTTCCAGCCTTTAATTCTAAAAGCCAGAAAATGATAGATTGCAGAGCTCAATATTGTTATTTATTTCTAGTGTCTACCTGGAATTAAAAGACTTTGTGTTTGTTTTTGACTAGTTTTCAAACATTTTTTTCATTTCACAGGTAATACAGAAAATAACTGGCGTTTTACTAGACGTATTTTCTTGGTGGATACTTTATCTGGTCGTGAAATTAACCTAAAGAATGAACCAAAGGTGATTAGAGTTGCTAACAGTATAAAAATCAGGTGAGAAAAATCTTTGATATGACTACAGACAGGAAATGGAATTTCAAGTTGCTACTTTTGTTGTAGACACGAAACCATTACATTTTCAATTTTCATTCAAGCTGCCTGATATACTTTTGAGATGCCCTGGTTAGCCAAACAGAGTGAAAGTCTTATGGAATAGGGCTTTTTCCATCTTCACTGCATTTAGGGACTATCACTTTGGTAGACACAATTGAAAGTGAAGCCTATCATTATCTCTGTATATAAAAAATCAAACTAAAATTTATCGTTTTTATCTCATTCCTTTTATTATTAGAACAACATTCCAGCTTCCCAAAAAACTTACATTCACCTACATGATCTGCTTACAGTGGGGATTTGCACATCAGGCAATGGGTCACCTTCCAATTCACAAAGGCTTCTTGGATGAAATCTTGGTGGCCACAAGAATCCAGTCTGTGAAACTGTCGCACCCCACCCTGCACCTGTTGGAAACCAGCCAACTTCTTTCTCAGTCTAAAATAAAAGAAAACAACATAGATCTTTTGATAATCTGAGGAACAAACCAAGTAGAAAATAGTTGAGAACCAAAATCACCCTTAATGTTACTGGTGTTTTTAACTTCTAATTCTCAATTCCTCAATGATGCATGTCATCCATGCTTTATCTGCTGCACACCATGGCCACTGAGACAAGACACAGCAGGAAACTGGCAAGCTGAAAAGGCTTTGAACAAAAGCACTAAAGAGCTACAGCCATATGAGAGATACTTTTAACAGCACCTCTTCTCTCTTGAAATTGTTTCCCTTCTTGAGAGGTGATTTGCAACTAGTCAGAAGGCAGTTCACCTGTCTATTATTTGTATCTTTTACTTCAAGTGGAGGGACAAGATCAAAAGTCATATTACTCCCAACTGCATCAGCAGGAGCAACACTAGCAGCAGCAACTTCTTTCTCCTCAACAGAGTAATTGGATGAAAATCAAAAAGGTTGCATTGTACGTGTCATTGTACGTGCTCAAAATGCTGAATCAATCAATAGACTCCATATTTTTATCCTTAAGCTTGAGAACTCAATGCACAACTTACTAACACTTCCATGATGTGAACATTACTTGCCACTCAAGCCTGACTGTTGTCCATGTACTGGAAGAGCTTGGTCAGGGATACGGCTAGTTCTAGATCACAAATCTGAAGTTTTACTGCCAAAACGTTAACAGGGCTGAGGCCTTTGCATGTGTCCGGTACCTTCAGTAAATTCTTCATATCACATGGAGTGGATCGAATTATTGTCGTTATTGAATTTTTTAAAAGTCTCTTCCTCTAGTTAGTTGTTTTAATTGCCTACTACCGTTCACAACTGTGTGTTTGATTTGAACCATGGTTATGAAATCACTTAGCTTTGTCAAACTCGCTGGTTCTGTTTGACACGCAGATAATCAAAGCTTCCAACATTGTAGTAAAATACCTCCCTCCAAAGTTCCAGTCTGAACTTGTCCATGGAGCTTGTATCCTAATGCCAAATGCAATTTTATTGTGTAAAATCACAATAACTTGTATTTTCATTTTAATTCTGTTGAATTCCAAAAGTACTTCACAGAGGTGACAGAGACTGGATAGTAATAGTTGAGTCAGAGAATATAACTGAAAATATTGATAAAAATGTAGAGTTTGAGGAGATTTTTAAAGCTATTTTAAAGCTAAGAAAACAATTATTTTTATTTCATTATACTGTGGGTCAGGAACCTCTTTTCAAGGAGATATATAGGGATTGATTGTTGTGAATCGGATGGAAAGATGTATCCACAGAACCTACTTAAATAGATGACTGGCCATCTTTTTCTGGCAGCCTTATTGCGACTACTTGGCTGAACTCCAAGATTGGCAAATGCATTCAGTTCAACAGGCAATGTTGACATTTTGCACTGGAGTGATAATTTTGTTTGACATCTTTATTACCCATGGCAACCTGATCTTTTTAAGAGTTTCTTTCAATATCTATGTATTTATTTATATAAGACCAATAGATGTCATTATGGATTTTTTTGTCATTGATGCTATGAATATTTTATGAGAAATGATGAGAGGCAAGGTATTTCAAAGACAATGTTGAAGAGTGTTTTGGTTCAGGACTATGGGTCCCCAATTGTTCACAACTCCTGTGAGGTGCCATGATCTATTAACAGAACACACTCAGTGTCATCAAATTTGTTGGGATGTCTGAAATTCCTCACAATGGATCCATCAAGCGTAAAAGTGACATTGAGCTCACTGGTTGCATCATTATCCCATGCTGGCAAAAGTAGGTGAAAATAAGAATGGAGGTAGGAATACAGGAATCATGCCCTGTTCATCATTTCTAAAGACCTCCTGATCCACTCCAACTCCAAGATGGGCCAGGCCATAAACTTAAGCATTTCTATAATATTGGAACACTAGATGCTACCCATCAGAATTTCAGTCAACTAGTTTACTTACTAAGTTTTTAAAGGAAACAATAGATGTAATTTGTTATGAGGTCATAATTTGTAACTGAGTTTGTGAAAATATCTAAATGGATTGTAACTTTATTGACATCTTGTTACAGGGTCAATCTTGTGCCTAACACTCTACAAGGAAATATCTTTCCTCCTACTCTGATTGTTTCCTACAAAAGTATTAAGATCCAAGATCCAGATCAACAGTCTGTTGCAGTAAGCAAAATTTCCACTTTAAAAATATTTAAGGAGTAAGATGTAAATGAACAAAATTGACTGTTTTCATAGTGGCTCAATTTTGTGGCCAGCAGCAAGACAATAACACTTGGCACTGACCTCAGAGAAAGCTGCCCACAAAAAGCAATCTCTTTTACCTTTCCAGTGTTAATTTGAATCTGACATCAAGTCAAGGGGGATTATCAAGCATCCAGAATAGTGATCTCATCAAGCAGGATAACCAACCAAATTCATTCAATTATTCTCATACACAACAAACCATGAAGTAAAATGCACTGAATCCCCACATTGTGGCAAGAGGCCATTCAGCCCAACAAGTCCTCAGAAGAGCATCCCACCCAGACCCATACCCCTACTTTTTCCCTGTAACCCAGCATTTCCCATGTCTAATCCACCTAATTTACACATTCCTGGACACTACGGGCAATTTAGCATGGCCAATCCACCTAACCTGCACATCTTTGGACTATGGGAGGAAACCAGAGCATCCAGAGGAATCCCATGCAGACACGGGGAAAATATGCAAACTCCACACAGACAGTAGCCCAAGTGTGGAATCAAACCCAGGTCCCTGGCGCTATGAGGCAGCAGTGCTAACCACTGAGCCACTGTCCCGTGAATATGAGCCATACAGAGCAGCACAAAAGAAGTGCTTATTTGATAAAGCCCCGATTCAGCCTAAGGAGTTAGTAAACCTTATGTACAGAGAATTTAGAATTTTGTTTTATTGGATTCCAAAAATCAATTTTCTGTAAAAATACCCAATAGATCTTTCGATCTTCTCATCATCTTCTTGCAAGAGTAAACCACCAACACCCACATCACTCGCATCAATAGCCACTTTAAATGGCTTCGCACAATTAGTTTTGGCTAACACTGGGCAGCGGTTAACAAGCTTTCAGGCTGTCAAATGCGTGCTGACAGTCCTCTGCCCACTGAAATTTTCTGCACTTCTTAAACAAGTCAGTCAGTGGTGCAACCACACTACTAAAATTCTGTATGAACATCCAACAAAAACCACTCAATTCCAGAAATCGTAGTACTTCCCTCTTCGCCGATGGTATAGGAAACTCCCCAATAATCTTTGTTTTCACATCCATGGGGCTATTTGACCATGTCCAATGACACTCGAGCTCGCCTCCCAAATTTAATCATACAATTGTGATTATTGCTCAAAATGTTCATTCCATGTGTCACTAAAAATCACCAGATGGTTGATATACACCACACAATTGGGTAATCCTGAAACTACCTTATTGGTTAGTCTTTGAATTGTGGCTGGCGCATTTTTCATAACAAATGGCATCACTTTAAACTGGTACAGTTCATTTGGTGTCGTGAAAGCCAATATTTCCTTTACTTTTTTGGATAAAGGTAGTAACCTTTGAATAAGTCTGGCTGAGAAATACAAGTTGCTAGTCCCACCTTCTCAGTCCACTCTTCCAACCGTGGAATAGGATATGACTTGGATTTTGTAACTGCGTTGTCTTTACAACAATCCACACATAATCATTGAGTACCATCTAGTTTTGGTTTCATTACTTTGAGTGAGCTCCATTAGCTGCAACTCACTTTGATCGTATTGACCTGGAGCAAGCATTCAATCTTTTTTTGAACCTCTGTTTCCTTTAGATGTTAGGTCTATAAGGATTTTGCTTACTTGAAACAACATTTCCTACAACTGCATCATGCATTATTAAATTAATACTTCCCAGCTTATTCCCACATATCTCCCCATGTAATTGTAATAACTCATTCCCGTCATTTTGATTTTCCTCTGAAAGTTAACTCAATAATTTATCCCAATCTTTGGGAACTTCCTCATTGTCCAGTTTAATATGAAGAAAGTCCAATTCAGAATCATCTGAAATTGGTTCTCCACTCTGTGTTGCAACCAGTAACATATTCTCATTTTGATTTCCTTCCCTGTCAAAATACCTTTTGAGCATATTCATATGACACACTCTGTGAGATTTCTTTCTATCTTGCATGTTTAGCAAATAATTCACTTCACTCAAATTCCTTTTGATTTGATAAGGCCCACTTACCCTTGCCTTTAAACGTTCACTGACAACTGGTAGTAACACTTACACTCTATCACCACTAGCAAAATTACAAATTTTTAATTTCTTGTCGACTTCCTGTTTCGCCACATGTTGTATTGCTTTTAAGTGCTATCTGGCCAACTCACCCACTCTATTTAATCTCTCTCTAAAATTCACATGTAGTCCAAATACCTGGTCTCTGAACTCTGATTCACCAATTATCCTTAATTAATTTCAATGGCCCTCTCACCTCATGACCAAAAACTAATTCAAATGGAGTGAATTTAGTTGATTCATTAGGTGCATCTCTAATTGCAGAAAGTGCAAATGGAATTCCTTTATCCCAAATCTCTGGATAGTCTTGACCATAAGCCCTCAACATGGCCTTTAAAGTTTGAGGCCACCGTTGCAATGTTCCCTGCGATTCTGAATGGTACACAGTGGATTTGAATTGTGTTATTCCTAAGCTATCCATAACCTCCATGAATAAGTTTGATGTAAAAGTTGGCCCTTGATCCGATTGTATCTTTGTGGGTAGTCCATATCTAGTATTATGATACTATGTAATGGAATGGCCTCTGGAAATCTAGTCGACACATCCATTATGGTCAACAAATACTGATTCCACTTTTTGTTTTAGATAGTTGTCCTAAGCAATCAATTAAGACCCTTATAAAAGGTTCGTCAAATGCAGGAAGTGATAATAAGGGTGCTGATTTAATCACTGCTTGAGGTTTTCCAATTACCTGACACATATGACATTTCAGGCAAAAGTCAACCACATCCTTATGCAGACCCGGCCAATAAAAATGTTTTTGTATTTTGGCTTGAGTTTTCCTTATTCCCAAACGACCTCCTACTGGTAATTCATGTGCTACCTACAACACTTAATTTCTGTAACCCACTGGTAATACAACTTAATGAACCTCAGTCCATTTTCATCTGCCTGAATATGTGATGGTCTCCATTTCCTAATCAAGACTTCATCTTTAAGATAGTAACATTCTGGGGTACACTCAGATTCTTCGTCTGTGTATGCTTTTTGATACAACTGCTTTAGTTTTTCATCTTTCTGTTGTAATTCAGCTAATTTCCCTGAACCAAACATATCCACTTTGTCCTCCATCTGTTCTTTTTTTCTCAACTGTTTGATCAAACATATTTTCTGGTAATTGAACTTCAACTTCCTTACCTTAATACCCGATTTTTCCTCCTGCTTCAGCCTGTGGCTTTGTGACCTTGTTACCACACAATCTGGAAAAGTTCCAGAATATACACCTTAGTTGCCTGATTTTCCACTTGCTTTTCAACTACAGTAGACATCACTCCCACCTGCGATTCAGCTATGTCATTACCAAGGATAAGCTATATTTCTGGAATTGAGAATTTCTCTATTATTCCTACCACCACATCACTACTTTTCACCGGACTGTCCACCCTCACTTTATATAATGGAACAATGCTGTTCTTGCCATGAATTTCACATAATACCAACTTTCTGGCAAAGGTCCTTCTGAATTACATATCTCCCCATCAAAGATTGACTTCCTCCTGCATCTCTTAAAATTTTAATTTCTTTACCTACTCCTCCAGATCTACATGAATAAACCATACCCATACAAGTAAATTCATTAAAGAGATCTAGCGCTTCCTTCTCAACCAACCCCTGATCAGATTATTCATTCTTCTGCAACTTTTTAGCTTCCATTGTGCTTTCTTTTACCACTTAAACAAAACTCACTGGGTTATCTTGTTTTCCCACATCCATCTTCTCAGTGCTTTTGCTAAACCAGCAACACTGCGACTTCATGTGGCCTACTTTATTACAGTGAAAGCACCTGAGCTTTTTTACTTCTCTTTCCCCCTCCTGTTTCCCCCTCATGGATTTCCTTTTTATCCTGTGGTAAGCTATCTTTACTATCTTAAATGAGACCTCCTTTTCCCTTATCGCCTGAGGATTTTTTCTTTTCTGAATTTCTATCCCTCACAGATTGAAATTTTTGTTGGAAGCCAAACTTTGACTTATGAACAAACTCATAATCATCGACCATTTCAGCTGCTAATCTTGCAGTCTTAACTCTGCCCTTCTACATGAGTTCCCACTACATCAGAAAGTGAATTTTTGAACTCCTGCAAAATTATTGTCCCATAAGACTGCCATATGTTTTATCTATTTTCAAGGCTCTTATCTACCTATCAAAATTACTTTATTTGATCTTTTCAAACTCTATGTGCGTTTGACCAGATTCCCTCCTGAGATTCGTAAAATGTTTTCTGTAGGCTTCTGGTACTTAGTTCATATGCACTTACGATGGTATTTTTAACCTCATCATGCTCCCCAGATAACTCCTGTGATAGTGATGCAAATACCTCACTAGCTCTACTTACGAACTTTGTTTGGATCAGTAATACCCACACGGTCACCAGCCATTTCATTTGTTTAGCCACTTTCTCAAATGAAATGAAATGGAAAAGGCTTCTACATCCTTCTTGTACAACTTAGACAATGCTTGGACATATTTAAACAGATCAACACCAGGCCTTTGGCTATGATGGGATTGCTGTCCATCACTGTCTTCATCGCTACTGCTACTTTTGACCTCCACCTCTACCATTTTAAATTGACTTTGAGTTTTCAGTTCCAACCTCTGATGTTCAAAAATTTTCTCTTCCTTTCTTTCTTCTGCTAGGGCCATCCTTTCCTCCTCTTTTTCCACTGCTTTTAATTGTAATTCAAACTGTTTCATTTCCTTTTCTCTTTCTTACCAGGGTTATTCTTTTTTTCTCTTTTTCCCTCACCATTGCCTCTAATTCGAGTTGCTTCATTTGCAATTGAATTTTACCAATCTCCAATGATTCTGATTGCATTCCTGGCAATTATAGATGCTGCGCTATTGCCACAATTATTCCCCCTTTCCTCACAGACAAAGGCATCTCCAACTTCAACTTGTTTGCCAATTCTGAAAGTTTTGTCTTGCTCACTTTCTGTAAAACACCCGAAGTGACTTCTTCCATCCGCAAGAAACTCTTAAAGAGCCAATATTACACAAGGCACACCCTGTTAAAAACCAACTAAGTGCAGCACCCAAAAGGAAAAAAACCAACACACACCTCTCCCTGCCTTTGAGTCCAATAATCCTAAACTCAACCTGGAATTAGAGAATTTGATCCCAACAAGAGCCCCCAATCTGTTATGGATCAGACCAAAACCCCTTAAAACATGTCCATGAGATAGCCTTCACCCTAACTTTTCTTATTTTAAAGGCAAATACCAGGTGGTGCGATCCAGATACAATTCAATTGGCCAAACTATCAGCGCTTGAAGCAAAACACACTTTATTCATATGCTGTAGTTAAAATAGGACAAAATAAAAAGCAAAATAATTGGCTTAGCTGTAACTCTGTTGAAATACTTAACAAAATAATAAACTACTCATTAGCTGCTCCAATGTAGTAATATCCAATAAGCACACCCATGGCAAAGACAAATTCAGTAACAGATTGTCTCACATGCAGGTCTAGCAGCAGGAAGAGAACCCGAGCTTTTAGATGTAAAAGAGAGGGAATTAAGAGCTTCCGAATCCAGCTTCAAGACCCCAGAAACTGCTCCTGAAGGCTAAAAGTAAATGTCCTGGTTCTGTGGGAGCTTGATCCCATCCATTTAGGCTGCTTCTATTGTTGCAACTTTATACATAAAAAAAAAGACCTATAACCTGTTTACTTTATTGGCTTTGGAGCAGACTGTTCGCCCCTCTGTCTCAACCTTTCTTCACAATAAAAAGAGACAAAATATACCTCTTAAAGTTACAGTATCATAGTGTGAATATATGTAATATGTACAGGTCTTGTACAAAGTTAATGCTCTAACAACTTGTTTCTATATAATACTTTTAATGCAGTAAAATGCCAAAAGGTGCTTCTTGGGAGCATTGTAGGAATGTACAGATTTACATGCAATGAAGTGTAAGCTGTGCTTCTTCTGTGTCCTGACATGTGCATGAATTATAAAAGATCCGCATGCAAGTACAGCAAGTAGGCAAAGGAAATGTTGGCCTTTATTGAAAAGAGGATGAAGTTTAAAAGTAGATAAGTGTAGCTAACGGGTATGTAGGGCATTGTTCAGATCTCACGAAGTGTGAGTTATGTGCAGTTCTGATCACTCCAGTTAGGGTGGGATATATTTATACTGGAGGCAATTCAGTCAAGATTGCCTAAGCTGTTTCCTGGGATGAAGGAGTTGTCTTATGAGGAAAGATTGTGTAGGTTGGACTAAATGCATTGGAATTTAGAAGAATGAGGGGTGATGGTAATAATAAAAAATAAGATTCTGTAGTGCCTTGACAGGATAGCTGCTAAACAGATGTTTCACTTCATGGGGAATCTAGAATAAAGGGGCATTGTTTAAAAATAGGGGTCCTATCATTTCTGATGGAGATGAGGAGGAATTTTTTTTTTCTCTGAGAGTCGTCAGTGTTTGGAATTCTCTTTCCAGTGAGCAGTGGAGACTGGGTCATTGTCCAGGGTGTCTTAAATTTTTGATCAACAAGTTTTATGGGGACAGGCTGGAAAATGGAGTTAAAGCCATAATCAAACTCTGGTGAAGCAGCTCGGAGAACTGAATGTCCTAATCTTGCTCCTATTTCTAATTTTATGATGTTCATTAATATTGGTCCATTTAGCAGATATGTGCAAAAGCCACTCCCAGAATTCTGACCATCCACATCAAACACAAACAATTGGCATCTGAATTTGGTACTTAGGTTTTTAAGTTATGAGCAATTAGCTTGAAACAAACTTTGGATGCTGTATTTGATATGTTTTCCCTTTATACACAACAGATATCTTTTTCAGTTGAATATGAAATGGACTTGTCTGCATCTTATCAGAATACAGAGGTAAATTTCAGTTTGAAAGAATTATTGTTATTTCAACTAAAGATTCACCTTAGTAAGCAACAGTTTTTTCTTGTCACCGAAACTTTAATCATGATAATCACAGTTGTTTATGGTCTGCAACGAACATTATCATTAATTAACTCCGTGGTGTTCAAAGTGAAGGTAATTGAAGTAATAAAAAATCTGAAAGTGAAACAGAATGAGACATGACCTTTACAGTATATGTGAGCTACAAATTTGTCCAACAGGTTCAAAGATCAGATTACCATTATAAACCAATAACCAGGGTTTGGATTAAAATACAAAGTACTGGAGAAACTCAGCAGAACTATCAGAAAAACAGAGTTAACTTTTCAAGACTAATATAATTCATCTTCAGAGCCCACAAGATGCTGCCAGGCATGCAACACAGCCATCAGGACTCACTCTCTTTGTTTTAGAAAACAGTGTGAATTTCTCTTATTCTACTGTCCACTGCTACCACTAGATGCCACTTTGCACCACACCCCCTCCTCTTTCAGGTACCACAGAGCCAATATCAGAGCCAAGTATGTCCAGCACACAAAAAAAAGGACAAATTCAACCTGGCCAATTACCGGCCCATCTGTCTATACTCAATCCGAAGAAATGTGATGGAAGGTGTCACCAACAATGCAATTAAACAGCACCTGCTTAGCAACAGCCTGCTCACTGACTCCCAGTTAAGGTTTCACTGAAACTATACTGCTCCAGGTCTCATTACAGCCTTGGTTCAAAGATGGACAAAAGAATTAAATTCCAGAGATGAGGTGGGAGCTACAGCCCTTGACATCAAGGCTGCATTTGACCGACTGTGGCGTCAAGGAGCCCTACCAAATCTGAAATCATTGTGACTCAAGAGACAAACTCTCTGCTGTTTGGGGTAATACCTGACACAGAGGAAGATGGAGGTATGCCATCTCAGCTGCAGGTCATCTCTGCAGGAGTTCTTCAGGGTAGTTCCTAGGAGTTTCTAGGCCCAACCGTCTTCAGCTACTTCATCAATGACCTTCCCTCCATCATAAGGTCAGAAGTGGGGATGTTCACCAAAGGTTGCATATTGTTCAGCACCATTCACGACTCCTCAGACACTGAAGCACTTCAAATGGAACAACATCTGGAGCTGACAAGTAGCAAATAACATTCATGCCACAAAAATGCCAGGCAATAGCCATCTCTAATAAGAGACATCTAATTACCTCCACTTGACATTCAGTTACTATCAGTCTCAACTTCCTGGGGGTTACCGTTAATCAGTAACTCAATCGGACTCGCCACATAAATACAGTTGCTACAAGAACAACTTAAAGGCCAGGAATACTGCAGCAAGTAATTCACCTCCTGACTTCCCAAAGCTTGTCCACTATCTACAAGGCACAAGTCAGAAGTGTGGTGGAATACTCCCTATTTGCCTAGAGGAGTGCAACTCCAATAACTCAAGAAGCTTGATAACCATCCAGGACAAAGCAGTCCGCTTGATTGGCACTACATTCATAAGCCTTGTACTCCCTCCGCCATCGATGTTCTGTAGCAGCACTCAGCAAATATTCCTAGACAGCATTTCCAAGCCCATGACCACTTCCATCTAGAAGTACAAGAGAAGCAGATACCTGAAAACAACTGCAAGTTTTCCTCCAAGCCACTCACCTTCCTCATTTAGAAATATATAACTGTTCCTTCAGTGTTGTTGGGTAA